TGCATGTATTATGCAGCCTACTATGATATATCATCGATATCGAGTGTTAGTACAAAAGAGTGTTAGTAGAAAGATCATCATTGCTTATCAAATCAAAAGCCAAAGTTACCAATTTCACCAGGGTTCGACGTCCGAAAGCTAATGAACGTTTATCCACAAGAGCAAGGGTACTAATTCCCCCCAGAGGTTTCAGTTAATTACGCCCGGGAATATAATGAAGGTGCGAAATTAAAGTTGTCCGCCATTATATGTCATGGACGTTGGGCATTTTTGTAAGTTATGCACATACGTGAGTTTAAAACGAGTTAAAACTGGTAACTAGCGAACGTTTGCAAGCGTGCGATTGGCTAAATCAAAAAATTTTGGTCGCGTCAGCATAACTGATAGTTTGAATTACAAAACTTTTTCAAAATATTTTTCATTCGGTTGGTTTTGAAAATATCGAAAAATTCACTAGTACCTGAACATGCAGGTAAATAGGTAGATTTTGTATTTTAACGCATGCAAGTATTTTACCAACGTACGACACCTTTTTGAATTTATTTCTCAATTTCGTTAAAATCATTAAGATTGGGAAAGCATTTATTTTTAAAGGTGATTGTGTTTAAAAAGGAATTTATATTTCGCTAAAAATTGTAGTACAGTATTTAACACTATTCATAGCACAATTGATGATTTTTTTTTATTATTATAGTTGGATGTGATAGCTCGAGAGTCGACTTTACAATTTTGTTCTTGATATAGGATTTTTCTTATTCGACTTTGATCATTCAATTCAGCAGAAACGAGTCTTGTAGAATTTCAGTCATGTAAATATATGTTTATTGCTTCAGGCGAGGAGATTTTGCATTCATGTATTTCGAGTAGCTTATAGCAATTTGGTGCGAATTTCCTATTAATTGTACTCGCAGTTATAGCTATAGGCTAATGCTTTCCATTGAAAATTGACCGTTTAAATCCTCATTCAGTGGCATTTAATAAACACGTTCGATAATTACGTCCAACATTATGGTTTTAAACTTAGAATCACCTTAAATTACATGGATTTTAAGTTCTTTTCAAAACATTGTTCTTGTACACATGCATAAAAGGAATTTTTAACTTTGACCAATAAATGTGAAAATAAGCCATAACACTAAAACGAGGCTACCAGGACACGATCGGCAGTCTCGTTCTTGTGTTATAGCTTATTTTCACCCTTTTTTGTCAAAATGAAAAAAAGAACATTTTCATGCATGTGTTGAAGAAGATGTTTTGCATCTTTGCACGTTGCTCGTGAGAGTAAAACGCGATGGCCATCTCAGTTAACCCCAGCATAAGGCCCAGCATCTCAAAACGATAATGTTGTGACGTAATTATCGAAAGGGTCTATTCCATAAGATTGGAAATTTATGCTTCTATACAATTTCAAACAGATATCATACATGCAGCCACTGTATCATCTGCATGCACGTGAACTACCTGTTCCCGTTATATATGCTTATTCATGCATGCCATTATATAATGATTATGGCATTCAGGCATGGCCTTAACCTTCTTGCAATATTTTAGTTTGTCCATCGTGATTTGGCAGCCAGAAATATCCTTCTTGCCGGTGAACTAGAAAACGTTGCAAAAATTTCTGATTTCGGTTTGGCGAGAGATATTGGAAGTGCTGAGGAATATATACGAAGCAATCAGGTATATGAACTATAATAGTAAAAGGACAATTTTACTGAAAAAAAAATTTTCAATTGGCATGATTAATTTGTTAAAATAGTGAATCTGATTATCAGAGACATTATTTACAAGCTAAACTAGGAAATATTGATTTATTTTTAAATTATTTTCCAATATAACGTATATTTGATGAAACTCATATTCAAAATATTGAACAAACAAAAGAGTCTGGACAAAAATATTAAAAAAATAGAAAAAATTTTTGAGTTGTTTTTTTTGCCAACGATTTTATTGACATCGAAAAAAGTTGACATCGAAAATGCAACTTTGTTTTGCTTTGGAAACAGTGCAACATTTCTCGATATAAAAGCTCATACTAAGGATTACTTACTTTATTTCATTTTATTAGAATCTTCTTCCTGTTAAATGGATGGCCTTGGAGAGCCTAATTCATGGTATATTTACAACAGCCAGCGATGTGTAAGTTGTTGCCTAGTGGTTATAGGTTTACTCCTTGGGGCAGGTTGAGGACTGGCCATAATATGTTTGTTCCTTGGGCTGGTAGAGACTTGACATAATACGTTTAATTGCTCCTTAGGCAGGTTAGAGACTGGTCATAATACGTTTGTTCCTTGGGCTGGTAGAGACTGGACATAGTACGTTAAATTGCTCCTTAGGCAGGTTAGAGACTGGTCATAATACGTTTGTTCCTTGGGCTGGTAGAGACTGGACATAGTACGTTTAATTGCTCCTTAGGTAGGTTAGAGACTGGCCGAAGTACGTTTGTTCCTTAGGTAGGTAGGAACTGGACATAGAACGTTTGTTCCTTCGCCAAGTTAGAGTGAGCTGGCTATTGTACTTTTGTTTCTTGGGTAGATTAGAGACTGGCCATAGTACTGGGTTAGAGACTGGCCTGTGTACTTTTGTTTCTTATTTGAAGCTCAATTTGGTCCTTACCGTTTTTTTGCGAATTGCAGTATTGCACAGCATTTATAATGACTATTGAAATAATAAAGAAAGTCGTTACGCAAAATCACATTCACAGACACGGAGAATGTTATGCATCTGACATACATCATTCTGAATTGATAGATGGAGTTTTGGCGTTCTTCTTTATGAAATCGTGACTTTGGGTATGTGTTATCGTATGTACGAGTTTGAACGTTTCATTTCAATTTGCAAATTTTTTATTTTTCTCTTTTTATCAGCCGTAACGGGTCGTTCGTATAAGTCACCATGCAAGGAATAAAAGCTATATTGCTATAAAATAGAACCATGAAATCAATGATAAAGAAAACGACTGTACTCAATTTGCCATATTTTCAGGCGAAGAGCCGTACAAGGCGATATCACCGTATAACATAATCAATCATGTTGGATCCGGATGCCGAATGCCAAAACCACCTCACTGCTCAAGTGAAATGTAAGTCGGATACTCTGCTTGCTTTTGTCTATGCAGTTCCCGCATGACCTAGCTGTTCAGTTTAACACTTCTATGAAAGAAACAAGAAATGCATGAATTCGTATTATTAGCCTGGTACGCATTTGATAAAAACAAAAACAAAATATTGAATTATTTAGTTTACTAAACTGTCTCGAGACGTGCCTTCTTCATTAAAAATTTCTCTGTTTTTCTTCTCGTAATGGATCGCCGGCAACGCCGTCCATTACAAGAAAGTGTCGGTCCGTTTCGGGAAAGTAATGGACCGCTGAAAATTCTTCTCAACCAATCAATGAGCTCGATTTCACCGGAAGTGACGCTTGCCATATTATAAAACCTTTTAATGAACCGGTTTCTTTACTCAGATACGAAATAATGTCAAATTGTTGGAAGGTTAATGCTAAGAATCGACCAACCTTCTCTGAAATCCACCAACGTCTTCATGATTTGATGAGTAATGACGAGGTAAAGTGCTAGTAATGCTATCTTATACTTCGGTCATGTCTGTTTGCAGTTTAGGATTATATAAGCTGAACCCTGAAGATTCTGTCTTCTCGCATGACTCCATTCTTAATTGCCGATTGAAAACAATTATTAGAGTTTATCAACAAATAGCTGAGCTCTAAATTAGACTTAGTCCAAAAATTTTGAAAAACATATAATTTAGATCTGTCATCAATATGCGATTACATCAGTACAATACTAATAGGTTTGAATGTGACATTTAGGTGTCTATCCTAACTCACATAATAGCTATCATGTTATAAAATATGTTTTGCGTCATCTTTTGCGTTTGAGTAAAGATTTTTTCATTCGTAGAAGTCTTACATCAATGTGAAGCAACTAAAGGATGGAAAGCTTTGTTTAACGATCAACCCAACTGAGGTTGAGCTCATGGATGAGAAAAATGATGATGTAACCGCTTGAAGAAACAGTTTTTATGAAATATGGCTGATATAATTATGAGAATTATGTAGTTGTTCTCACGGTGTTTCTATAATCTTTTTTATATATGACAGCGATCCCATAGGCTTAGCTTTTTGGTGAGTGAGACCTCAAAATCATAATCACGTTACGAATTTTTATTCTCAGACGATATTTATCCTCGAAGTAATACTGGATAATTGGATTTAGCATTCTAACAACATCAAACAGCGAGTCAGTGGCGTAGGAAGCATCCCGAGATTAGCAAGACATTGCAGAGATTGGGCACCAACTTGCAGGGGCACATTAGGTTAATAAAAAGGGCAGCTCAGTAATGCGGTTTAAATTTATTATCAACAAAAGTCGTTACTGTGAAACTAGCACATGTAAAAGCCCTGTTACACGGTACAATTTTTCGTGCAAGTTGCAATGCAATTCTTAATTCTTTTGAAATATGTAAATTTGGCAAGTACCAATCTTCTTTCTTTGTCACACTCCATGGTGTTTCTTACACTTAAAGCCTCTTCACTAAAAAGAAAAATCGCACCGTGTAACATGGTTTTAAGTGGGCATACGTAGAAAACAAAAAAGACAGCTTCGATTTTAAAATAGTATGCACAGCACTACAGCTACATTAGCTTCTCAGTCAAAAAGTTATTTTTCATCACAGAAAGGGCACTTTTGGTAATTTGTTTTCAGGTAAAATCTTAGTTAACTTGCCTTTTTGCGCATTAAAAACGACTTCATTTTGCGGATACTAGTTTCGATTTGATCATCTTCAGACTTCAGTGCACTTTACAACGGTTGAAAGGTGTGATTTATTTTCCTTCTATTCTATGGCCCCAGCAAAGTTTAAACACCTGTTCGCAGGCTAGGAAATATTGTCGGAGGTAACCGTCAGCTTTCGCCTAGCAATCGGAAATTCTTTTTAGCGGCAAAAATTTGAAACGAATAACAACGATTTTTTGTCTGACAAAGAATTTATATATAATTTTATCCTTTACTTTTGGGTAATTTTAAACACTAAGAAAGAAAATATATTGTGATCTATTTGTGTATTACGTATTAGAAACAGCTCTCGTTCAGCTATTAAAGAAATCTCATTGTAAACAGTGAAGGTAAGTAAATTCTTCATTCTCGGTATTTATATTTTGTTTATAGTCGCAGCATATTAAATATACGATGCCCAGTGCTGATTCATGGATCATACATAATATATAACAGATAGAGAAATAGTGTATTTATGTAGTATAAAATACCACGAATATACATCTACGAAGTACTGTATTCATGTAATTTCCTTTTGTAACTGGCACTTATATATCTAGCAATAAAAATCTGGCTTACAAAATAATGTACCAGCTAGGCTTTTTATTACTGTGCTATAGCTCAGTGTTTGTTATATGCACTAAAACCTACTAAAGTTTTACAACCTGTATACATTTCTGTGTTGTAAACACAATTGGGCCTACTTATCACTATCAGAATTAAATTATGTGAATTTCACAGCCTGGCCTAAGCTCTGATTTCCAGACTTCAGCCAGGTCAAGGTGTCTGCCTAAACCATTTGATGTTGATCTGCATCCAGTTTCTATAGCAAAGCGCATTGTGATCAACATAAATTAAGTGTTTGTTCCCAAAATTACCTTTGGTATCTGAGCTGTGGCATCATCTTACTTGAATGGATCTAGTGTTGTTTTGTAGGCCTGTGGGATGCAGGCTGCTGCCATCCATAGGTTGACATAGATTACCACCAGCTGTTTTTTTTGAAAAATTATGAAGTGAGAAAATAAATGTCTTATAATGACTGTCAAAAGTCTGGTACCTTGATTGTCAGAGCCATAGAAGTCTCTAGCTACTCCGCATGTAATTCCTAAAGTTTGAATTTATGCCCATATATTTACAATCCCCAGTAACCAAGTTTGTCTTAAAATATTAACCTACCAGTATTGGTTGAACATCCTGTTCAACGTAAGCATGAGTGCATACAACCATCATCAATGTTCAAAGCTGATCGAATTTTATAGGTATATTGTGTTCTTGTTTGAATTATAATTTCTTATGCAAGCAAGTAACAAACTTAGTTTACTATTCCATTCAAACATGCATGTCAGTATGGTTCGGTAGTTAAGAACCTACTAGTGCTGCATAACTATATTTAGTGGGGGAGTGCCTCTTGGAAAGAATAAAACCTTGTCACATATTTGGGAAGGGTAAGATAAGGGTAATAGGCCTCCATTCGAAAAAAAATTCCCATGGTAGTGCCTTAGCTAAGGCACACACAATCAGCTAGGGCTTCCACGACTTATTTGCACCCAGTGTTTGCACCTACCCTCATAGGAGGATGGCAATGCCAAAAGAGAGGGACAATGAATAACTTTTGAAAGGAATGCATAATACATCTATTAAAACAGAACCCTTGTGAAATGCTGCATGCCTAAAATAAGAAAATTACCAAGATTTAAAGTAATTTAAACGATTGCAACTCTCTAAAATTAGCTGGCTTATACGATTTGTACTGATTGGGATAGAAAATTGATCAATCAACAGATCAGAATGATACATTAATAGATCCCATTGCTCACGGTATAGGTAAAAGTTCTATTAGTTTACTTATTTATGAATGGATCATGCAGTCAGCGGAACAAGTGCCCATTAATTTGTTGTGCAATATCATAATTATTCAGTTGTAGAGCATGTTTCCTTTTTTATAGTACTGGTTAATTCACTTAATAATTGGCATACAGTACATGATACTGTATGCCACAACTGCATGTGTGTGAGAACCTACCAAACCTTAATTATCATATTGTGATTGTAGGCTAGCTATACCACCCGACCTGAAATACTGAGTGAAGGATACAGACTTGGGTCAAATCATTTAGTTAACCCAGAAATAAAGAAGAAGCTATCATTATGAATTCAAAAGCAAATGTAAGCAAGCATAATTTTTATTTAGTAAGGAATTGTAATTGGCACACATTTTCAAGGTTATTACAAGGTTAAATTTATTAGTCTATCTAAGATAGGGGTCAAAAAACAGTTTTAAAATATTTACATCATTTTTCGCAAAATAAACGTTAGGGTTGTGCATGCAGTGTATGAATACGGTATTTTATATAAGCATGTAAAGCTGCTCAAATCTTACTAGCTAGCTGGTGCCCCCTCATGGAATAAATTTGGTAATAATATTAAAATCAGACCTGTTGGACTCAGTGGCGTAGCCAGCCTGACGATTTTGTCCCGCTATCCAGCTGAACTGGGCATAAAAATCAACCAATCAGAAGCCAGATCTTCGACAAAACTGAGTTATCATTTCCTTCATTGCAATGGACTTCGACACTCAAAAGTCAAGTAATTTTATTATATTTATGTGAAAACACGTTTATTTTTCCCCAACTGCAAATTAGAATTTAAAATTTTCACCCTTTATACTATTAATTGGAAGAATAAGTACAAATAACACAAGGCACATGATAACTCAGTTTTGTCGAGACGCTTTATGACGTCATGATCTCAGATCAGCTGGATGTAAATTTCGAGTTATAATTATTCGTGCCTTTAGAAATCTATTGTTTTCACAGTCAGTGAACACCAAAATATTAGCATAGCGGGACAAATCGACAGGCTGGCTACGCTACTGGTTGGACTCGTTTATGATTATGCATGTGCATATCTGACTGAATCTAGCATGAAAATTACAAAATCTCATGATCACCCTGGGCCTTAGGGCCTATTAAGCTCGTACATCAGAACCCTGCCGGTGAAGAATACCAACTCTTTGCTGAAACTTCATACAATTTACTAGTTCAGAATGATATAATATGATTAATCTCTGTGGAGTCAAGCTAGCTAGCACACAGAAAATACGATGTGTTCGAATGTGTTGGGGGCACCCTTCGCAGTTTAAATTTGAATAAAAAGTGTAATTTGCTTTACTGCGTTTTTAGGCCGGCAGGAAGTTAAAACAACCCATCGCTGTAGTTCGTCGTGCAACCATGGCAACGTGCAGAGATGAAAGAAAGCCTCAAACTGTATGTTTTGATACAAATTTCTGATCCGCATTAATTCCGGCCATGGCGCATGCTGACTGGTATTTTTAAAAACCTGGTCCTTATAACACCTAGCATATCATTGACATTGCATGTATATATATTCAGTTTGTATATATGTACGCAAGGCAAGCTCTACCCCACACCCCTCTCACCTGCATACTTCCTGGTTGCAGTGTCGTGGCTGTATAATTCCTGCATTCTTTTGGCCGAAGCCCGACTACAATTTTCCTTTTTACAAATAAACCATGTTGTCTCAATTTTAGTCGGGTACTTTGAACCCACGAGCTAGCAGCATCAATAAACACACTGCAGCTTCGACCACCGCTAAACGACCAGCTACAACAACACAACCGACTCAGCAGAAGAGCTTAAAAAGACAAAATTCGAACACTGAAAACATGGTGGTAAGCATTATATATATATATATATATATATATATATTAATATATATATTAATATATATATATATATATATATATATATACTGTAGTTTTAAACATGTTTTGACAGCATTAGAATGTATAATTATACAGTACCGATATATTCCATACTGTAAAAATATCATTTTATAATATAACATTCATAGTACGCGCGTGTTGATTGGTCGAGAAGCGTGTTTCTATTTAACAATAATGTTTATAGACAACGAGTCCGAGCTGTCTATGAGCCAATTATAGTCAACGAAGGCGAAGCCTGAGTTGACTATTCGCTCATAGACAACGAAGGCGAGTTGTCTAATTGTTTTAGTATACACCCTGTACCTAGATATATTAATTTCGAAAAAATAATCGAAACACCGCAATTACACCGAAAATTAATTCAATTTTATACGAATTTTTCCCAAACGTTCACTATCACGAATAGACAATGGTCGAGTAGCCAATCAAAATGTAGGATTTGTAATAAACAATAGTCTGGTGTATACTAAAACTGTATAGAACACGGAATTTTTCCCGCCTCTATAAGAAACACGGAAAATGTTTTTTCTTAAGTATAGAACAGCAATATAGAAAACTGGACACTTTCGTGTGCTACGCCGTACCCTGGTTGCAAAACAAACAAATGCTCTTCGCCCGCGCATACAGTATCCTTGCATGGTTCAAATGCCGTGTGGAGATCAAATTTCATATGCATTGATCATAATCATCGTTCTTCGTGGTTTTTTAAAAGACTTCACTATATAAATAATGCTGACGATGTCTTTTTCGTCGTGTAAAATCTGTTTCTGTTTACCCCTTAAAAAATTTGTCTGTGATTTTTTAGCCTGCTGCAAAAGTAAGGAAAGGAGAAACTGTAACCGTTGCAAAAAAGAAAGGTACATAGTAATTTTAAACACATCTTAAATATTTTATTTGCGGTTTTAATAGTCATTAGTCACCCTCCATAGGAACCAGAGAAATATGAATTTGGGGGGAACTAAAAATTTCGAAAAACGTACTGACCCCTCCCCCCCCCCCCTATTAAGAACAAGTTGAGATGAAAGGTAAATTCAAGACTCCTGTCTACTTTCTTTCCCCCCCCACCCCCGTCTTATATTTAGTTATTGGTCTGCTGTGATTCTTTGGATTAATAATAAAAAGTTTTTTTATATTAATTTATTTAATTACTGTTGCCTGCTTTTGATAGCAGTCGATATGAAAGTTTTTACGAAGAGTACTACTCTACTAGAATCCAATTACAATAATCTTAATTGAGCAAAACCCTGAAACGAGCTACAGTAGCTTGGTAACGATAATGGGTAAAATAATTTATATGCATTTCAGATGGCAGTTTTAATCAGCAGTTTCAATGAATTCGTTTTAATTATCAGTATCGCATGCACTGTGAAGTATTCACATTGTGATATCTTATTTCATGACCTTCAGGTGCTCCAAAAAGAGCAGCATGGGATTACAAGGGTCGGATGGAAGATATGGAAGAATATATGACAACATTGAAGAGCATACAACAAGAAAATATTCAGAGAATAGAGACGCTGGAATCACAGAAAGATCAACTTCAGGGAAACGTGGTTCTCAAGGAAAAGGAAAAAGAGGAGGTTAGATATATTGTAATGCTGCACGTGTCTCATTCAAACTCGTTATTATAGGAAAAGAAACCTTGCTGCATGTTTACCAGGGGCCGGTTGTTGTATCAAGCCCGTTTTGCTGAAACGGTGGTTAAGTTCAAAATAGAAAGCAAGTCTTATATCGTTTTATTCAACAAGTAAACTAAATGTTTTTGTTTACAACTATATATTCAGTGCATAATACTCAAGTTGACTCATTTAAGACAGATCGTGTAAGAGTGTTATTTAATTTTCACTTATCCACCGTTTAAGCTAAACAGGCTTGATACAACCGGCCCCCTTTTTTTTTCGCCATGACTTTATCAGCGAAACCAATACGAAACAACAAGGGGGGATTTCGTTCTAGACCAATCAGCAAGTTTGATTACATTTTCAGTAACCCAATCAGAATGGATAAATTTCTACTACTTCTGGTAAAAAAATCAACTGCATGTATTTTTATTCCACTGAACCAACTTATCATTGCGTATCTGTTCCATGCAGGCATCGGCGCTAAGCAAGGAACTGCAGTCTCGTCTGGAAGAGAAGTCACTGGCGGAGCGAGAATTGCGTGAAGAATTGGGAAGAGAACGGGAAGAGAAGGATCGCGTTGAGCGGGAGAACGAGGAATATAAGTTTGAATCAGAACTGGCGAAAAACGAGATTAAAACATTGAAGCAAAGATTATCAACTATGACTACAGAAATTTTGACTGTCAACACGGAATTAGAGGCAACAAAGGTAAGAAGCATTGGCAATAAACGCGAGCGTTTTGTACGTGCATACTTACATGTTTAGGAACTTGTATAACAACGTACATGCAGTGCATCGAATTTAGGTTCTTAGCTATAAACTATAAACAGCTACAAACTATAAACAGCTACAAACTATAAGCAGCTACAAACTATAAAAAGCTATAAACTATAAACAGCTATAAACTATAAACAACTATAAACTATAAACAGCTATAAACTATAAAAAGCTATAAACTATAAAAAGCTATAAACTATAAACAACTATAAACTATAAACAGCTATAAACTATAAAAAGCTATAAACTTTAAAAAGCTATAAACTATAAAAAGCTATAAACTATAAACAGCTATAAACTACGAACATCTATAAACTATAAACAGCTATATAAACTATAAACAGCTATAAACTATAAACAGCTATATAAACTATAAACAGCTATATAAACTATAAACAGCTATAAACTATATAAACAGCTATAAACTATAAACAGCTGTAAACTATAAACAGCTATAAACTATAAACAGCTATAAACTACGAACAGCTATAAACTATAAACAGCTATATAAACTATAAACAGCTATAAACTATAAACAGCTATATAACTATAAACAGCTATATAAACTATAAACAGCTATAAACTATATAAACAGCTATAAACTATAAACAGCTGTAAACTATAAACAGCTATAAACTATGAACAGCTATAGACTATAGACAGTTATAAACTATAAATATCGATTGTCTTTAATGGGAGTTATATTAGGAATTAATTGTCAGTCACGGTGGAGTAGGACAATTAATCACCTCCAACGTGAAGATTAATTTCAAAGCACACAACGCCCTATAACGTATGTAGTAAATTTCAAGTCGCACTGATGAAGGTCTGTGTTGATGAAGGAGACCGGTCAGTCCTCTCTGGCATTCATAACCCTGGTCTAATTTACGCTTGGGAACAGTTTGTGCAGATGGTCTGTATCTTACCCACCGTAAGGTTAAAGTTGGTTTGCATGGTTTATTCTTCGTTTATCGTTATGTAATCCATGGAAACTCCTGTTTTTAGGTTTCTTTTAAGAAAGCGAACGATGAGATTGAGCGCCAGTCAGGTTTGATATCCGAGCTTCAAAATACAGTCAAATCCCGTGAGGAAACTATTGAGGAGTTAGAATGCAAGCTGAGGGAAGAAGAAACAACACGACGAAAGCTCCATAACGCTGTCCAGGAATTGAAGGGAAATATTCGTGTATTCTGCAGAGTAAGACCAAGTTTACCAACCGAGGCTGACGTTCCGCTGACGAAGATGGAGTTTGAGAATGATACAAACGTTGTGTTGTGTCAAACAAATGGAAATGAGGTATTTAGATCGAGGAATATCATTTTGAACCTAATGGTGACATTGTTTTTAAAATGGACGCCTCCAGGAACTTCTTTACTTGACACCACTGAGCTATATTTAAATTCCTGGAGAACTGGCTCTTGGCCAAATCGACACGCCAAAAAGATGGCGGATTTTAAGCTAGCTTCGCTGACGCCACATGGTTCCTTTTGCTCATGATAGTTACCACTGACATACCGCGATACAAAGTGAAAAACTGCGTCCAACTCCCTCTCAATTTTTTATATTTTTTCTTGTTTTTGAGCAAAAATATTGACTTTCTTCTACTTTTCCCGCTTCTTGCTTTAGCCATGGTTGGCACAACTAACCTCTAAAAAGCGAATAACCCTATAAACCTGACCCGCTTGCTCTGAACCAAGAGTAAAAACAAGAGTACGCGAATTTTCGTCCTCTGCAAAAGGTTTTTCAAATGTTTTTAAACTGAAATGAAAAGTTAAAAGACTATATTCTCACTTTTTATTTTAGTCAATAAGTGGCACGAAGCGTCAAGCCAGCAACCTTCCATTCAACTTTGACAAAGTATTTCCTCCAGTGTCCTCTCAGGAAACGGTATTTTCTGAAATATCTCAGTTGGTGCAGAGCGTGCTTGACGGTTACAATGTTTGTATCTTCGCATACGGGCAGACTGGTTCGGGCAAAACGTTCACGATGGAGGGAGATTTAAGCGAGAGAGAGACTTGGGGAATGATACCTAGAGCCATGGAGCAAGTGTTTTATACTTGTGAAAATTTGGAGAGCAAAGGATGGAAGGTAAAAAAAAATGCAAACTAAGCAAAACAATTTGTTTTTCTAGAAATAAATTTTGCGGATATCGCGACACAGTAAATTAACGTTCTCTTTTATCCTTAGTACGATATGAAGGCGTCATTTCTCGAGATATACAACGAGACGATACGTGATCTGCTTGCCACAGGTGACCCGAACGTAAAACACGAAATCAAGCAAGTTGTGACAAACACCGGAAAGCAGGCGAACGATGTTGATGTCACTAACTTGAAAACAGTTACGGTGAAGTCTCCGAACCAGGTAGGTTGGGAGCTTGCTGCGTATTATCACTTTTAATTGGTGCATGCATGGCTTTGCATTATAAATGGAGTGGGAGCAGCCCGATAGTTCACGTCTTTCATCGTTTAAGATGTGTGGAGAATTTATTGAAAACTAGAAAGGGTTCTAGTACGTGCATGTATCCACAAATATACACAAAGGCAACAGTCGCAATTCGACAACTACGTGATAACACACTGCAAGTATTAAAAAAATGTATCGCCATTTTGACTCCACTGACATTGTTACATAATATCACATGCAACCAATTATAATAATCCGACGTCGCGATATCAAAGTATCGAAAAATTCAAATGGGTTCGTTTCAAGTTGTCTCGAGCAAGTCATGCTCCGTATTATTCCGAATGTATTTAAATGTCTCCGTGTTGAGATCTGTAATTTGATATGTTGACTGCCATATATACTATGGGCCCTTTCAATTCAAAACAAGACGCCTATTCTGGCGGTTACTGCGTCGCGCCAATCGTTGCATGCAACTGTGCCCCATTTCCTGTCAATATTTATTCCTTTAGAAAAATGTTTCTTTCTTAGGTTTTCTAGTAAATAGAGCACTTCGTACAGAATATACGGGTAAAACTGCATTATAGGTGCTAGGCATATGTAGCTAACGATATACGTGAATAAGGCTGAGTTTGGAATCATGTACTCTGGGAATCAGTTTGTACTGAAATTCAATAGGATCGGTCTGGCCGTTTTTACCCTTTAAAGGAAGGTGCGGTTTGATTGAAAAATGGCATAGAATGGTATATACAAGGCTTTCATAGCATACAAGGCTTTCATGGCATACAAGGCTTTCATGATTCATGTGATCGTTGTCTGTAAACCCGTTTTAGTGCAGGTTTACCATGATCAGTGTGTGCTAGTGTATGCAGAGTGAGCATATCAAACAAGACAAGTCCCAGCATTATGATTACCTGTACGTATTTTCTCGAACGACAGACGTCTAGATTTCCTGCGCTATCGGCCATGCACAGCGACTCGTGTACGTGTTATTTTATATGACGTGTATCGTGCATGCTGTTTCCTGCTTTTGGTTCGCACGACCCGAGTTCGAATCCCGGCGACAACAAACTTTTTCAATTTTTTGTTTCAGTAAAATATTTCTTTTGTGGGGGTTACTAAGCTTAGATTACTATTTGAAGTGTGTTTAGCACGAAAATATTTCGATACGAAATCAAACGAGTTCAAAATACGACTATCTTAGTTGGCCTGCGCGGCCAGGTAGACCGGGTCGAAAACGTAAAAAACACAAAAAAAAAAAACAACACCGACGGCAATTTAAGACTGCGTTCGCGCAGTGCGCGACGCAGTAATAATTTACGACCATTATGGCCGCCTAAAGGAGAGCGCCCTATGATTCACGTTCAAATGGAGACTAGGTCAAAATACTTAAGACTATTTTCCTTGACCACTCTGATTGCTAACATATTGTTGGTTATCTTATCATACTAATGACTCTGAGCATCAATATAGTGAAGCAATAAAAAGATTACTTACTAAAACAGACCAAACCTTGGCAACATTTTATCACGAATATGGACAAGTTAAACCATTCCGAGGCAGTTTTGAAATCAGTCTTTGTTCTGACGATGATTCAAGTCCATCAATGGTGCTATGTGAATTAATTCTCTAGGTATCAAGTCTTCTGCACAAGGCATACGAGAACCGCGCCGTTGCGGCGACGAACTGCAATGAGCGCTCGTCCAGAAGCCATTCCGTGTTTCGGCTCAAATTAACTGGAAACAATGATATTACGGGAGAGCAATGTCAAGGTAATTATATTAGAGAAAACGATTATAAATTATATCTGGAAAAGCTACGTAGCAAATTGCAATAGTGCCAAGTAAATAAATAAGCATCCCGAGTAAACTTTGTTTTTTGTTCGGTTCTTTCCATGTTTATACACCTTTGGCATTGTATACTAATTATCATGCTGTCAATAATATACACTTAATGTATGCTCCCGATGGAAACAGTGAGTTTTGTTTTCCCAAGAGTGTCAAGGGAAACATTTAGACTCGAGGGAAAACAAAACTCACTATTTCCCGAGGTGTAGTGAACATTAAGTGTATTGTTATATCGGAACAAAAGCATACATGTTACACAACAATTTCATTTCAAAAAAACTTTATGACAATATGTGGGCAACAATTTTTCACTTGAAATACACAGCACCTATATAACAATTAATTAATGTTCATATTAATAACATTTTAGGTACCCTGAGTCTTGTGGATCTTGCTGGATCCGAGCGTTTGAGTCAATCTGGGTCGACTGGGGCGAGATTGAAAGAAACTCAAAATATCAACAAGAGTTTGTCTAATCTGGGTATTGTGTTCAATGCTTTGGCAAACAAGGTATATGATCACTTACTTTGTACAATACTTGCTACTAGTAATAGGGGGGTTAGGAATCAAGGCTAATATTATTATGACAGCCCAAGACGTCTGTATAAAATGAAATTAAGGTATAAAAATTTGAGCCGCTTCATTCCTGAGTGATCTCATGCATGGTCAAGTCTTTAATTCATACGTTTACAGAAATAAACTTTATTAATTTGAATTTCTTCCGTTTTCCTTCAGGATTCCCATGTGCCATACAGAAATTCTAAACTGACCTATTTACTTCAAAATTCGATTGGTGGAAACAGTAAGAGGTAAGTTTACAATCTATCCTTGAAGCTTCATATTAAATTTATATTTATTGGAAACTATTTTAACTTAGTTTTGAATACTCGATTTTTTGTTATATCGAGTCTCCGTATTAGATTCTCTGCCATCTATCTTTATAAATGCCTTATGCAAGTATGAAGCAAAATTGAGTGATATCTTAAATTTCTTTGTAGTCTAATGTTTGTCAATATCTCTCCTCGTGAAGATTCTCTACAAGAGACTCTCAGCTCACTTCGTTTTGCGACCAAGGTAAACAAATATAGTAAGAAACTTGCAACTGTGGATCGCTTGCGGATGTGCCGGTGAATCGCTTTTACATAGTAACTGATGGGTTTCCGGATTTCTCGCGTCCCTTTTTTATGCGTGGATCACGCAATCTTTCATGAAAAACCATTTGATAGCTACATTGCGTATTCCTTTATTATTTTATTTATTTTATTTATTTTATTTATTTTATTTATTTTATTTATTTTATTTATTTTATTTATTTTATTTATTTTATTTATTTTATTTATTTTATTTATTTTATATTTTTATTTTATTTATTTTATTTATTTTATTTATTTTATTTATTTTATTTATTTTATTTATTTTATTTTTTTTAACGTAGTGGTATTCTTTATTGAAAATATTTCTAAGTAATATATTGACATTCTATGATACTGTATGTTCATTTGCATTCGAATTATGTTGAAAACATTACAGTGTAGCCGCCCGCTGTGTGTATATTATTGGTTTGGCATGGTGTTTCTGTTTCTTTCAGGTCAACACATGCAACATTGGCACCGCTCAAAAAGTTAAAAAGAATTAAAGACGCGACTAAAATGACATTAAAATATAAGTTTTATCCTTTTAGAATAATAAGTGGACATGTATATAGCAAGAGTACTCTGGCCTAAGTACCTTTGTGGAGTTTTGACTAAAGCTGTAATATTTTTGTAAATATTTTGCGATTCTCAAAACTTGCACCATAAGAAATATTAACTCGCGGTGTTATTACATTCGGGCCTCGGTCCTTAGCGTAGGATGCTAAATCGATAACATGCATAAAGAGCATGCAGAGATGAATTCTCAATTCATAAAGCAACTGCAAAATCTAATGTCCCTCTTTTTTGGAACATTTTTAATTATTGCACTGGCCTGTTTTTCAGTCTGTCGCAACATACTCTTAATGTTGGATCAAACTCGACTTTACAATTCGACCCAATTTCCCTCTATGCATGACGTTATATCTGCCGCTATGTCAGCTACATACAATAATATATGGGAATGAAAGACAACAGTCGAAGCTATCAATTATATTGATGCGTGCTGTCTAATGGAGTTCTGTGCGCCGTTATCATTGAAATACATATACATTCTCCTGTGCATCTCCATATACTCATAAGTCCCAACTCCCCTTTATGTAGTTGATAAAGCAACATGAATGTGCCACTTCTAAAACTTCATGGACTTTTGCCCATGCAGAAATAGTTGAGTTGGACGATTTCCAAAACAATCTGCCATTCGAAAGGAACCCGACCTTTATAATCCTGCTTTAAATTTGTAAAAAAGAATGCCAACTAAACAGATATATAGTATTCTTTTTGGATTTATTGTCTTTAACCAAAACAACTACATTTTTATTGATATTATCGAAAAGCAATACTGAATTGGCTTTGGTAGATTTACTGCTTAGAAGTGAGTTGGATCCAACAAAATTGGATCATGTGAACAGACCTTAAAAGAATGTGGTCCTTGTTAGGAATTTGTGATCAATGCATGACGTATGAACTGGACAGGTTCTTGTAATTCAGATAATTACTATATAATTATACATACATTTATGATCCAGCCCAGTCTTGTGCCAAACCAGTTTTATACGTGCAAAAAAATCGCAAAATTAACTATGAATCTGGGTGACGCAAATATATACGCTCCTTTGAAATCGGTTGAAAATCACTATACGGTGGATAACGCTATATACCCGGCTTTCATACAACCGGCAAGAGATCATTATGATGAAATTCAAGCTAGTGTTTAGCCAATCCTATGATAAGTATATGATTCTTTATAGTAAAACTGAATCTCAAAGCTGGCGTATATTTGGGAAACCCTGCAGAGAAAATCCTTTAAGATATACAGTAGGAGGCAAAAGTTTGAGTCCAGTGACTGTATTTCATTGTTTTAGCAGCATATATTAATATCCTACAGAAAACCTTACCGATAAGTGAACTAGAAAAAAGTAAATAAGTAAACAGAAAAATACATGCTGTACAACAACTATGAGATGTTATGGTATTCATTTTTACGTATTTTAATGTGCAAACATGCATTTACATGTCATTGCTTAGTTCCCTCTTTTTGCTCTTGAAATGACCTTTATTCTTGCTCGCATAGATTCCATAGGTTTTTTAATGTCACACGTTCAATACCTTGCCAGCATTCGTTGACCACTTGCCTCAAGTCAGCCTGGCTGGCGGGTCTGTGCCTCGCCCTCTTCCGGTTAAAACGGTTCTACAAGTGCTCCATAGGTTTTAGATCTGGAATATGAGGTGGAAAGCCATGACAACGAGATCACCAGAATGAGTTTGCTTCTAAAAGATTTCTGGCACATAGAAGATGTGCATGTGCTTAGGGTGATTATCATGTAGTTAGACGTGCGATCATCTTTGTACCAGATGAAATTCCATGTCCTTGAAGAATTGGATGATACTTTTCTTTAATTAGGATCCTATTATATCTTTCAATATTGCCAAACCGAGCATGACCAAAGCAGCTAAAAGTTTGCTTGAGTAGGATTTAGTTTCTTCGAACCGTCCAAGGTTAGTTGCATACAACCTTTTTAAATTCTCACTTTTTCTGCGACCTTACGAGGAAAGAATCCTTCAATACTTAATGCAACTATTTGTCCTTGTGCACCATCACTTTGCCCTTTTTCCCACCCATCTTGGGCAGTGTAAAGGAATGAGAACTTTATTTTGTTATAATTTAGATCATTAGGACCAAAACAGTGTGCAATTAATATAGTTTACAGTACTGAAACACTAGCACGCATGTCTTAACTCGAATACGCTGCCAGGATTTAATACTGGAATTCTACAACGACTGGACTCAAACTTTTGCCTCCTACTGTATATCCTGAATAATTTTCGAAATTTGTACGGGTTGCATTTACAAAATGGAAACTTATATGTAACTTGGATGTTAGATAATACAAATTTAATTTTAGAAGTGTTTAAAATTTTGTATACGTGCATGTACACTACTGATACATATGAAAAAGGCGTTGGTTAGTAAATTAAAATAAACGGAAATAACTTAAATTATTATATACCACGTCTCAAAGTTTGGTGCATGTTCGTAGCATTTCATTGGTCAAGAGCGAATAACGTGAGAGTAACGAAATTTTGATGTCGCTAGCGCGACCCCCTGCAGAGTGAAATAACGTGTTATTTTTTCTTGCGGTCCGAATTCATATTTTAGCGTTTCCTGCAATCCGATTGGCTACGCGAGCAAGTCCGTATGAGGCCGCGCGAGATTTAAAAGCACAGAGTGTTTAAAATATGAATTCGGACCGCAAGAAAAAAAATAAATCTATTATTTACCAGTTTAGTCGGTCCGTATAGGGAAATATTTCCCTCGGTGTTTTTGAGACCATGGGAAATATTTCCCAATACGGACCTCCAATCTGGTAAATAACATATGAAATATCATGGGAAATAACAATTTTAATTACGTGCGCGTACCTGGACGTGCGACCAAAATTATGTCTTTTATAAATAGAAATTTCGTTGTTCACCTTGTGGTTTGGTTTTTCTTTGACAAGTGGTATATAATAAAAAACTTGTTTACTGAGAACTCGGAAAACGTTATGTTTTGTGGACCCTCGACCATTGATATTTTACTCGGCTTCGCCTCGTGAAATATCGACAAGTCTCGGGTCCACAAAACCTAATGTTTCCTTCGTTCGCAGTAGATACGTGTTAAATAGTATACATTAGCAACCATCAACATGAAGAACAAGAGGGTCAGGCTGACAACCCCCACAGTAACCACCACAACGAACTGACCATTTTTTTCGGTCTCCACTCATGGTTGGATTGAGCAACACTTGGGCACAAGTTGGCCATGAACCAATGTGATAAGGAATAGACGATGGAAATTGAAAATCAGTTCCCGCGAGATTCGCTTCAGTGATTCCAAATCTTTGTGTTGCATATGCATCACAGCTACGCCACCAACAGTCAGCCGCTCTTCCGTATGCCACTACTACCTCTCCATTTGTGTAGAAAATCTGGAGTCTTGTATCGCGACGTTTAACGAGGGCACATTAAGACGAATCTAAATGTCCCAAAGCAATTTAAGATTTAGTATTAAAAAATTTAAACCTTGTTGGCAAAGATGAGTTGCGTTATTCCTGTTTACATATTACAATGACTGAGGCGAATTCACCTGGAGTAGCACTTTCCCGTATTTTGATCAACTTAAGTACAGTACAGGTAATAGGAGATTTATATCCATTATCAGTTACTACGAAAACAGCTACGATCGAGAATAAAATTCGTCATTTTCGCGCCAAACTCGGTGCCGTTTTCTAAAGCCGAGCAAAACTTCGCGATAAGTCATATCTTCGTGATAGACTCATCGTACTGGCGATAGATCATACTGGCGTCATAATCCCTAAGAGTAAGAGCTGTTTTCCAGCTGTTTTCCATATACTTGTCTACTAATAAATAATTATTGGACGAGGTTGAACGTGATATTTAACAATAGACCTTATGCATAATGACGTATCAAGCCGTGACGTGACGCCTGTAGGGAATTCTGTTTTTGTAGTCACGGCGAAAAACTCAAACTTCGAAATTTGCCCGCTGTGACTACTAACACCAGAATTCCCTCCAAGTTTCACGGCTTGTTGCGTCATTATGCATAAGGTCTATTACACCCACGACGAGCTGGAGGCTGAAGTCGTGCATGAACTGAACAGTGAACTCAAATGAAACTGGAACGCTCACTATCTGACTTTCCCTCATTAATGAGTGAAGTCAAGATGGCGGTTCATGAAGCCTTCCTTGTTGGTATGATCCAGGCCTCTGACGCGGAAATTTCAAAGGAAAAATCATAATCTTGCTGTTTAGCCGTAAACGCTGGTAACGTTGAAAACAAACGTTATTTCACCTTATTTAGAGGGGTTTAGAGGGAAAATGATAAAGATGATAACCTTATCGTATCCAGTTTTACCATGCCCCGAAGTATAAGCATTTCCTGGTGGACGATTATTAAAACCATAGTTCGTTGTTCTGCCAGCAGGTAATGTGACATATTCCAACGGATTCTCTGTGTCCATATCAGCACAATACACTCGTGCTGGTTTTGAACAGGTGGGATGTAAAAGATACAGCTGATATTCACCATCGCCTTTATTTAAACCTATGTCTTTCACCATTTTACACGATGCTGGATCTAAGCAATGCAATAATTCAAACGACGTTATTGGCGTGCTTTTGTAAAAATGGCGACAGATGAAGGAAAGGGAGCAGTAATTAAATGTCAGCATTTGGCATAACACAATAAATCGGCCGAAACTGTTAAGAAATATCTCATGGATGATCCGTCTGGACACACGACAAACTATCTGGACGAACTATATGTTGACGAATATGTCAAACAAAACTGAATCGTGCGTTTAGAAACTGCATGGCCGCGGGGATTGGGAAATTATTTATGTGGTAAAAAGAGTGCACAAGTGCCATCTTATGATGAATTTTCGTAGTTCTTCCCACTCCGTACGTATTTATATTCAACAAACGAATGTGCGTCAAGGCGAACTACCCATTCAAATTCGTCTAAATAAAGTAATAAACGAACTATGCAGATAATTCGTGTTGAGTTATGATCCGTCTGTTTGCCCGCGTGTTTAAAGCCGTTTTCTACTTCATCCGTATCGCAGCGAAACATAGCGTATCTCATTGTTTTGAAGTCATTATTTCTGATCGAATACTTCGGAAAAAAAGAAATACGCTACGTTACGTTACGATACGGTTGAAGTGGAAAACAGGCCTTACACACAGAGCAAGTAAAAGATGAACTATCTTTTGCTTGCCCAAGATCAAGTTCGTGTAGACGGATGATCCGTCTGCATGGTTGCCCGCGTTTAAACACAGACAAACTTGAAAACGAACTATGAACTATCTTTTGCTTGCCCAAGTTCGTGAGATTATCCGTCTGATATAAATCGGGCCAGTTACTATACGAGGGCTTGTATATAATATACGTCCATTTTTGTCGATCGGGTGCGATTCAAACATTAAGCTCTATTGTCATCTTAAATTGCATACATGCATGCATGAGTGCAATGCGACCGAAATTCCGCATGCAGTACAAAATACCTCACAGGTTATTCCCAGGTCCTTTGCATGTGAGCCATTAAAGGTCGACACAGACCGGACGCGAATTGTCAATGCGAAGCGAATTTTCAACGTTTTTAATTTTTCAAAATCAAATAAATTTTAAACTATCATAATATTCTTGTATATTACATAACAATTAAACATTTTGACTGCTCTAGCGTCCATAGTTTCCAAATTTTACTTCCGGAATTTAATTTATATGCTTCTGAAAACTCAAAATTCGCGTCCCGTTGCCGCATCGCGTCCGGTCTGTGTCGACCTTAAAGCCTGATTCTCATATGTCGCCGACGGTCGGCGATGTATTGTTTGTGGTCGTTGACGAAGAAAATTTATACAAAATAACAAGGCACTTTATTCTCCAGTGATCACCGACAATAACCATCGCCGACCGTCGGTGACATATGAGAATCAAGCTTTAGAGGCTGTTTTGAGGTATTGAAATGAGCAGATTACATGATCCTGGCAGTCGTATAATCAGTGGCGTTGCCAGCCCAACAATTTAGTCATGCTATGCTAATATTTTGGTGTTCATTGACTGTGAAAACAATGAATTTCTAAAAAAATGAATAATGATAATAATTTGCATAGCAATCGTCAAGCTGGCCGGCGCCACTGCGTATAATCCCCACAACAATAGCATGTGCTTGTTTGGTGTTATAAAGATTTATTTCAATACCTCAAAGTCCCATCACGCTTCATTGAATATCGGGTAACTGGGATCATATAAACAGCCCCTTAATTGTCGCACTCCATGCTAACAAGTGCATTCTTTTGTGTTAATTTTAGAGAGTATAAAGAATAAAACCTTTTAAATTACACTATTGTTATAATTCAAATCCCTGGTCAATTTTCTAATCCCACGGGTGCACAATCATACACAATCGAATAAAATAATTATAATGCATGGCACGAATTAATTAATATACATACAGGGTGTCCCAAAAAAAACCGAAAACTATTGAAATCACCCATAACAATGCAATTGTTAGAGTTTGAATACCTAAGCACTCTGTTGGGACCCACAGGTGTATAAATGTTTACCATACTCATTTTTATGCATGCATATGATGCAGTAAAATTTGCTTGTTCGCAAAAATAGTATTTATTAACCATATTTACAATTTACAAATATAGATAACAATATTTAAATGTGCATCTCAAGGACCATGACCTTCGACATGTCCCCTTTCTCTAATAACACAAAGCATTTAGCATTTTAAACTTGCATTAAATCCCCACGGGCTAAAATTCGTGAACACGGCATTCAAATTTTAACAATGAGTGATTTCAATTGTTTTCGTTTTTTTGGGACACCCTGTATATACTGCTCATTAATTTCGAACCGGCGTTGTTCAAGGTTGCGCTTTTCAACCGTGGATTTCAATCAACCTTTCTCAAAACGCGTTTTGTACCGAACGGCTGTACTTTAAGTGTGGATATAAGTTTGGACGATAAAATCTATTTTTTGACAATGCATTGTTATTATTGTGCAGAATTTTGCTTTTAGAAGTTGTGTCAAATTCCCAGGAGCTGAAAGGCTTTAGTGCTTGTGACAAAGACATGTAATATATGCACAAAGCTGACAATATTTTACACATTCAAAGGCTTAACATAGCGATGGGGCATTTATATTTCACAATAGATGAATTTCGAAAGGTCTGCTGTCGCGCATGCGCGTCTGAAAGCTAACACCGTTTTCGTGAATTGTGGACGTCTGAACGATATGAACAGATTTCAAGCAACGGGAATGTTTCATGGCGTGGTAAACGACCGAAATTATCCGGTGATATCGATTTAAAAGTAAGTTGATTGCATGCTGTATTTCAAGTTTTGCCTTGCTTGCTGATCAGTATGTTTGCTGTTTCACGGACTATACCCACTCGTTGACACCGTTTGTAGCTATTGCATTTATACTAGAGAGTAGAGACAGAATCATCGGCCTAGACGACGAAAAGCGAAAGATATAGTTCGCTCTCAGTTCGTCTGTGTGTAAATTATAGGCCAGCATAGTTTCTCTATTTAGACGAATTTGAATGGGTAGTTTCACTAGTTTGTATATACACAATTCCCGTGCACTTTCTAAACGCGCGATTCTGGCTTGTTTGACATATCCGTCTATATACTTCGTCTGGATATAGCTTGTCGTGCGTTTATACTCAGACGAATGATCTGTCAGACTGATCATTCGTCAAGACGGATACCCGTCTCTAGTGTAAATATCAGACGGTCTTATATAGCTATAGAGACGGATTATCTGTCTGCAATGGGCCGGTTGTATCAGGCCCGTTTAGCTTAAATGGTGGTTAAGCTCAAATAGAAAGAAAGTTCATCGTTTTATTCAACATGCGAACTAAATTTTTTTACTTTAATACGATACTGCATGTTTACAACTACATATTCAGCTCATATATCAAGTTGACTCATTCAAGAGAGATGTATAAGAGTGCATGTTATTCAATTTTGACTTAGGCTATCCACCGTTTAAGCTAAACGGGCTTTGATACAACAGGCCCGAATGACCCGCCTGACAGATCATCTATTTAGGCTTGGTGGTTATTTCTGAATGAATGAAATAATGCATTTCTAGCAGTAGCAATAGAAAATCATTTTCTCAAGTGACATGTTTACGGGTTAAGTTCACTGGTGTTTGCCTGACTTTATTGTGCGTGGCCATGCATTCATGCATTGAATAATATAGATGGCAAAATATTACCCTCTTGTTCCAGACAACCTACAGTTTTTAAATCGTAGTTAAATCCAAAAGACACGATTAGCCGATTCTGTTAACAACGAGAGTTAAAAGTCTTTGAGGTATAGGAAAAAGTCAATTTGAAACAAAACAATCACATGCTATTGTTAGGATGATTGCAGGACCCCCAGACTGATCCAGAATCGTGCTATATTTACGCTTCGTTACATCTCGGCAACCGGGCTAATGTGAACAGCCCCTTAGATTTGGTGAAACGGCTGAAATAAGGGTGCTGAGATAATATTTTAATTACGAACTCTTTACTAGTCTAGTACTCCGCTTTGATTCCACAAAGTTTCTTATCGAGTAAAGTTATCGAAATGAAACAACTTCCATAAATTAGAGGAAAGACTGTCTTACATTTTGATACGCTGTTTGTTGTTGTTTTTTAATAAAATTCATGGGTATATTTTCAAAATCGCTACATTATTTCGGGATGTCTGAAAAATATGCAAAATATGCGGTATAAAAATATCAATTAATTAGATTTGCTCAACTGAAGCACTCACTAGTAACAGTAGACACTTAACGAACTGTTGCATTATGTTATACCACTGCAAACTCTCGCAATATTTTATTGAAATATATCTTAGGATCACGGTCCAAATGTTTCTTAAATGCGACGAATGCTTCTCTCATTTATTGCTGCTACACCTCGATTTTGCATATTTAGATCTCATAATTCCCAGGAGCCTACGAACTTTTGTTATTGAACAGAAGCGAACATATATGAATATGAAGTGTTGCAGTTTTTTTTTACACCATGTATATAAATCCGCTATTATTAACTTTGAACACTTAGGGGCTGTTCACATGAGCCAGGAGTTACCGAGATTTAACGAAGCGTAAAATAAATGGACTTTGAGATATTGAAACGAGTAAATAACACGATTCTCGACTGGTAGTCGTGTGATCATCCTAACAATAGCATGTCATTGTTTTGTTTCGAAAAGACTTTTTTCAATACTTTTCTCAAAGTCCATTTTACGCTTTTTTAGGTAAAAATTAATGATAATATAGCTACCAAAACCTCTATGTAATGAAATGTATTTCAGTGTAATGGCCTCACTGGTTAAAAGGTTACTATCAATGAAACCTGAGTACTTTTTCTTCACCCTGTATATTTAATAAATAATGACCTAGACTACGCATGTATTTAAAAAAGGTACATTTGGTACCACACTGATTACTTCGAACACACATCCATTTTTCTTGACAATTGAATACTTACATGGATATTCACAATGGCGTCCTTGAAAAACTGGGAAATAAATGTTTTCGGGACATTTACAAGTAGGCGGCCCTGAGCAGGTGTAAACACATTTTTCACCTGGACAAGATGAGTAACACGGAGGTTCATCCTATGAGCAGAGAGTAAAGATACATGTATTCACTCTATTGTGATACGAATTGCCTAAAACAAGGTCTTTAAATCACACAAGGTGTTAATTACAAAGATGGTGCACGAGGTTTTAGAGTCGGATATTTGGTTGAAAAATAACCATTCTTTTCCCTAAATCCAGCCCTTATATACATAATATAATCATTCTACTGTATTGTATTGTATACAACTTTCTCATCTCCTAGGGCCCGGAACAAACTGCCCCCTTTCTTCCCTGCCCTGGTTTCTCTTAAAGACAAAAGAGGAAACGAAGTATTTCGGAATAGTATGAGTAATATCTGTGTAGGTAAGTGCATATGAGATCAAATTGTGAAGTACATCATGGTTTCTCCTTGCGATTTTTCAACTTACAAGAGCCCTCTATTTCAATTAAAAAATTAATGTTCTTCCTCAGCGCCAAGCCACCAACTATAATAGCGCATGAAAATCCTTATTATTACACACCAAGTCGGTTCCTTGTTAAAAACAACGAAATATTAGCAGTAAACAATCCTTCTGTAAGGCTAGCCATTAACCTAGGATCTATTATAATTATACGTTTGGCTTTCTGTACATTATTTAAAATATAGTCACAATTACCTGAGCATCGTAATATGAGTACCCTGGTCGAGATATTACGTCTGAACTTGATGAATCCTTAGTAGAAGAACTAAGTTCACATGATTTCAGAGGGTTTTCTGTTTCTTGGAAATTGTATGACTTGCATTGCGCATGATCCAAACAAGCGATTGTACACATTGCCAGGTGATTGACCTCAATAGTTTTAATGATATGGTTTTGCAATGATGAATCTGCAATATTATAGTTTTTAAAGACAGGTATAAAACATTTCATCAAAATTAAATACACGGTGAAATGGTAATTCAATAGATCTTAGAAGTTTCCAATCTACGTAAAATGACACAGTTTTCTATCTATGTAAAAGGAGGTTAATTTTTCCTACATGCTTCCAACATTCCATTGCAATTTATTGTTTGACAGTCCCGTGACGTAAGCACCTACATTTATATGCGCTGAACGCACTAATGAAGGAATTAAGACGGGCGTTTGACGTAGTCTTGGGTTTAAATATTATACAGGGTGTATACAAAAAACTACAAATACAGGGTGTATACAAAAAACCAGAAATACCATAATATGCACGATATCTTGCATTAAAATTTCAATGGCCGCGGTGCAACTAATTACACTTCTTAGTGAGATTTGAAGATACGTTTCCACGTGCAATACTATCAAAACAAGCACAAAAAAGTGAATTAAAATTAGTTCGGTTACGAAATGGCTCAGCTAACAAAAGCATTCGTAATCATTCATAGCCATTCTTAATTGAACCATTCGTAATCGAATTCATAACTTTAATTCACTTTGTGTGTTTCCGTGAAACGTGAAACGTATTTCCATATCCCAAAAGCGTAATTAGTTGCAACGGCCATTGAAAAGATCTCCTGCATACAAATTATGGTATTTGCAGTTTTTTTCATACTCCCTGTATACATAACCTAATGAAATTGAAATGGCTGGAAATAATTTGAATAAAGTCGCGAACCCAAATTAAATAGATTGAAATAAAAAGAAGCAAACAGAAGTCATATAAATTTGGGCCACGGAATCATAGCCTTCACAACCACTTAATAACACAACAACTATAACTGAGTTACTGAGAAAAGAGTTTTCTATCCCTTTTAAAATGAATTAATGAAAAATAAATTAATGAAAAATATTTCAAGAGTTATCATAGTAAAAATATTTCTAGAGCTTCATACCGCTTGGAACGCTTTCAGAGTGTAACCTAATATTAATTGCCTTGAATGAATACAATTTTACTTGTTTTGTCTGTATGTGTTTAAGATAATGAACTATATATATTATAAATGAAATAAATGATAAATGATAATACTAAAAAGAATTAACTTATACCTTTCTGTTTTTTCTTGAATATCCCTTTCCTAGCACATTCCTCCCTGAAAGGTTCGGCTCGCGCATTGCTCCATATTTGTCCAATAAAGAAATGTAATCAAGCAAGCATCAAATTGCAATATTTTGTGCACCTTCATGTCATTTACCACTGACTTGTGCTTTGAAAAATATCGTTGTCGTATATGATGCTGTCTGATTATGTTTCGTCTGTTTTGTCCTTGAAATGTGTCGATATATAATTTGTATAACGTTTGCTTGTTGCTAAAACTAGCTAGAACTTTTGCCGGGTAATCGCCTTTTGTTTCCAGGGCAATGTAATTCCCTTGCCTTTCATTGGTTGGTCTCATCGGTTGACTGTCACGTGAGTTGGCTATCTTATTAGTTAATTAGCAACTTGGTTGACCACAGCAGGTGCTTAGATTTTATATGTGACCGTTGCCATGGAATACCAAGGGGGTGTTTTATCAAAATCACAACAACAGTTCAATGTTTTGTGTTATTAATTCATTAACATAAACTTTTTAACCATTGACAGCAAAAATTGGCAACATCGGCTAGTCATTTCACCGGTTGTATATGAAACTCTTTAACTACGCTTTGCATAGTTAAATTCTATAGTTAACTGAAAGAAATACACAATGGCCAATTTTGTCCTTGTAACTACAGTTAAAAGCTAACTAGTCTTTCATACAACTGCCCTAGCGCAGCCCAAGTACGGTTTAAATGTTATATGTGACTGTTGCCACGGAAATATGACCAAGGGAGATGAGCTGAAATGTTTTATTAAAACCACAACAGCCGTCCAAAGTTATGTGTTATTAATATAAACTCTTTAGCCGTTGACAGCGAAAATGATATCTTGAGAAAAAATTTATTTACTGCAACAGAAGTTCAGATATTTTAGTTGTATGGTCGTTGATAAACAGAAATGCTATCGAGGTACGCGGCATTTTAACAGGACACGGCCAATTTAGAAAGTATCTCTATGCATAATTAATCTTCGTTCACCTGTTTAGACGTTGCATAATTAATAACCGTTGTCATGCAAAATTGTCATGCCATGCAGAAATGCCTGAAAATTTTATCACTGGACAACTGATTTAAAATTCGCGATATTAATCGATTTGATTTCTCGCGACTGCCGTCCATTGCATTCGACAACGTAACCGTCGCCAGGCTTCGGAGATTGTCGTAATTAAAGCTTGGCGTATTATTTTACTTGGTTTACCACAACATTTTTGATGTCTTTTGATGTCAACTGTCTGTTTGTGTCTTATGTGTCTTAAAACGTGCAACTGGCCAAGTGATTAAAGGCACTTTCTGGTTTTTTATTTAGTGAAATAAGTCTACATCTTTAAAAATTTTTCCATTTAATTAAGAAGTGATGCCAGTTTTGACAACCCCCGCGGCATTCGAGTATGTTTTACAGACATACACCTGTTGTGGTAAAGGAATTGGCATATCTATACTTAGGTGAAATAAAGCTACTTTGAAAATATACTCAAGCGTTTCGGAGCACTTCCGTTTCTGTTGGGCGAACTATGTGTTTAGATATCTTGGATCAATGCATGAAATATAAATATAGAGAAATTTCTCTCTGTCAACAATAGTATGCAAATCAAACATTCTTATTTTTTACAATTATTGTGAACGTTTTTCTTCAAGTGTTGCGCCCAAATGATGTCGCGGGCATTTTCAAGACCAATGTGACCTATTTTTAATTCATTCGGTGTTAATTCCCAGCGAACGCTGATTGAATATTTAGAGCAAAACCTGGCAATATCTCATATATTGTAGTCTGTATGTGGCATATGAGGTCAAATGTAACGGTTACTGAACAATACAGACAAATATTCAAGGAGGTTGAGAATGACGCTGAGGTTTATCAAGGTCAAGATTCTGGTGCATCTTTGCACCGTAGCATTCAGCACTTCGAGGGGATGAAATAATTCTTTATTATATCTTTTGCACATGACATCATAGTTGGTTTCTCGAAGACGAGTTAACCAAGCATTTTTGGTTGATTATCCAGTAATGACCAGGGACCGGTTTTTTAAAGCTAGGTTATCGCTAACTTGGCTTAAATTCTATAATCCACTGTTTTAGTTTATGTGCTTCTGAACCACTGTTCGTTTCCAAACTTTAGAAAATATTCTGGACCTTATAATGTGATTTTGGACCGTATAATGTTACACCCATATCGTACCAGCACCTGTTAGTTAAAGAAAGGAAAAGAGGGAGTCCATCCAACGATGATTGGTCCCGTTCTTTTACTCGAAAAAAGACGAACACCTCGTATTCAATGTTCGTTGTTACACAGGCGCGGATCTAGACCGTATCGAACGTGGCTCGAGCCACGGTCAGATTTTCCCATCCAGAATTTTCCCATCCGCAATCTAATATTCACACATTATTTAGAAGTTTCGTACAACCGACGAGAGATCAATATGATAAAATTTAAGCTCGAAGCTAGTGTTTAGCCAATCCTATGATAAGTATATGATTCTTTATATAGCAAAACTGAATCTTAAAGCTAGCGTATTTTTCGGAAACCCTGGAGAGAAAATCCTTTAAGATATATATCCTGAATAATTTTCGAAATTTGTACGGATTGCATTAACAAAATGGAAAGAACTTACATGTAACTTACACTGGCGGTCAAAAAGAACTGCTCAAAACAAGTTAAAATGCTCTCAAATGAAGGTAACGGTCCCTCTAACAATATACGAGTAAATATAGACTAGATACATGCTAAGCTATTTGAAATAGTAATATTTTGTTGACCGTCTTTTTGGCCTTATAATTGATGACGGCCTTACACCGACGAGGCATACTTTTTGTTAAGGTGGTAATCTTGAGCGGTCAGACGAAATTTATCCTATGGACAGTTTTTACAGCAACCCGTAAATCATGGACGCTTTATGAGTTAATTCCTTTCATGCACTATCCCCTTGACATTGTCTCACAGATTTTCAATATGGTTAAGGTATTTTGACTGTGCAGGCCAATCCATTTCTGTCACTCTCTTTTCCCATGAAACCATTGTTTGACTATCTTGGAAGTGTGGCAGGCTGCATAACATTACTAAAATATTGCTTGGAATAAGAGAATTATCCAAAATTCCCATGAAGCTCTTTCCTATATTCGCTTCTTCTTTATAAATTTGTATCTAAACAGTTCTTTTTGACCGGCAGTGTACAATAAAAGATTGTTTGTTACGATTCCTGTTACATACGATAATAGCAATATTTGAGCAGTTCTTTTTGACCGCCAGTGTAAATGTTAGATAATACAAATTTTAGAAGCGTCTAAAATTTTGTGTGTATATGTGTACACTACTGATGCATATGAAAAATGCGTTGGTTTATAATTGAAAATAAACGGAAATAACTTAAACAGTAGCGTAGCCAGCGTCCATAATTGGGGGGGGGGCTCATATTCATATATCCATGTTAACAGACTGTAAAGAAACTTGATTTGAAAAGAAATTAAACCTTAGTATCGCGAATATAAGAATATGGGCCCCCAATTATCGTTCTGGCTACGCCACTGAACTTAAATTATTGTATACCACTTGTCGGGGTTTGGTGTTCTTAGCATTTTATTGGTCGAGAACGAATCACGCGAGAGTGACCCCAAGCAGGGCGAGATAACGTCTTATCTCATGGGAAATAACAACTTTAATCACGCGCGGCACACCTGGACGTGCGACCTTTAGACTGTTCATCCATTTGAAATTATGTCTTTTATGAATAGATATTTCATTGTTCAACTTGTAGTTTCTGGTTTTTCTTTGACAAGTGGTATATAATGAAAACCTATTTACCGAGAACTCAGAAAACATTATGTTTTGTGGACCCTCGACCATCGATAATTTACTCTGCTAACCTAATGTTTCCTTCGTTCGCAGTAGATAAATGTTAAATAGTATACATTAGCAACCATCAACATGAAGAACAAGAGGGTCAGGCTGACAACCCCCACAGTTACCACCACAACGAACTGACCATTTTTTTCGGTCTCCACTCATGGTTGGATTGAACAACACTTTAGCACAAGCTGGCCATCCCCAACTGTGATAAGGAATAGACGATGGAAATTGAAAATCAGTTCCCGCGAGATTCGCTTCAGTGATTCCAACTTTTATTGTTGCATATCCAGTACAGCTACGGTACAAACAGTCAGCCGATCTTCCGTATGCCACTACTGCCGTTCCTTCCATTTGTGTAGAAAATCTGGAGTCTTGTATTACGACGTTTAACGAGGGCACATTAAGACGAATCTAAATGTCCCAAAGCAATTTAAGATTTAGTATTCAAAAACTTTCTTTTTGGCAAACATTAGGTGTGTTATTCGTTCTTACGCTTTGATTTGACTTAGACGAATTCACCTGGCGTAGCAATTTCCCGTATTCAAAGAACTTAAGTACTAGCACTGTACAGGTAATAGGAGCTTTATCAATTATCAGTTACAACGAGAACAGCTACGATCGAGAATAAAATTCGTCATTTTTGCGGCAAACTCGGTGCCGTTTTCTAAAGCGGAGCAAAACGTTTCGCGATAAGTGATATCTTCGCTATAGACACATCAAACTGGCGTCAAAATCCCTAAGGGTAAGAGCTGTTTTCCAGAATTCCCAGCAGGTGTCACGGCTTCTTACGTCATTATAACAAGCCACGTATTATAACTAATACACCACGAGCTCTAGTCGTACATGAACTGATGATAGCCGAGTGGAGGACAATTCTTAAAGTGAAGTCGAGTGCATTTTGCGCATCGGTTCTGCTCATACCATTGCAAGGGCGTTCAAATGTAATATTCACAATCAAGGCCTAGCAAAGTTACAGCACATTATTTTAAAGATTGCGTGAATACCAAAACTTGGTTTACCCGTAAACGCTGGTAACACTGAAAACAAACGTTATTTTGCCTTATTTAAAGGGGTTTAGAGGGAGAATGATGAAGATGATAACCTTATCGTATCCAGTTTTACCATGGTTCCAAATATAAGAACTTCCTGGTGGACGATTATCAAAACCATAGTT